GGTCTGAGGGAGGAGGGGCTGGGGTTTGGACTCCTGGGTCTGAGGGAGGAGGGGCTGGGGCCTGGACTCCTAGGTCTGAGGGAGGAGGGGCTGGGGGTCTGGACTCCTGGGTCTGAGGGAGGAGAGGATGGGGTCTGAACCCCTGAATCTGAGGGAGGAGAGACTGGGGTCTGAACCTCTGGAACTGAAGGAGCAGGAGCTGGAGGCCTGAACTCAGTCTGAGGGAGGACGGCTGGGTACCAGGATGCCTGTGACCCCACACAGCCAAGAACACCTGAGTCTGTACACCAAAGCTTTTATTGTGAGTGGGGCAGGGCAGGATTTACAGTCACAGAGACAGAGACACAAAGACACAACCCTGCACCGGGAAAAACCCCTCTCCCCTGCCCCGTTCCCTTTCATGGGATTCTGTGACTTCTATATATGTTCCCCAAATTCTAAGCTGAAAGAGGGGTGTCTGAGAGGGGGAGGATCCCAGATTTTCAGTCATTAAGCCCCTGAGGGACACAACAAATGGCCACTGAGAAACTGAGGGTAGTTCGAAACCACCCAGGAGAATAAAGTGCGAGGAATCGGGGGAGGGTCGTCATGAAACCACCGTGGGGACGTTCAATGGTGGTGGCTTCAAACCATTGCGTTCATGGCCGAGAACAGCCACTATTTAGACCTGAAAACCACGTCAGAAAAAGTGCATGGGGGTGGAGAGAGGCATATTGTTAAAGTTGCCATTTTGGTTCTTTTCCCAGACGTTATGCTAAGCTAGGGAGAAGAGGGTCTTGGGAAATTTGGTGCTTTCGCAGAATCTGCTGGTAGGGAGAAGTGGGAGGGGAAGGGGGGACTTGAAACCGCCATTTTCCCTCAGAAACGCTGGTGAGAATCAATCCCTGGAATGGCGGGGACGGGTGATTGGTTAAACCAACCAGGAAGATGCAGAACAGAGTTGGGAGAGATTTGACACTTCTAGAGGAGAACCTGGAATTTTTCTGAAAGGAGAGGGGAGCTGAGTGATCTCAAGTGTTAGTCTGAGAGCCCCTGGAGATAAAGGAAAGGCGGGGAGGGAGTGTGTGCCTCAAAACAGCAAGGGAGAGTAAGAGGTTGAACTGTCCATTCAAATAAAGCCCTGAAAGGAGAGATTTGAAACCACTGAGGCAGAACGGGTGGAGAGGGAACCTTTAGGGGAATTTGGGTATCCTTGAAACTCTCAGTCTTCAGCTTCACTACCCCTGAGAGGCAATCGGGAAAGAAAGAGGATTTGACAGCACTAGGAACAAGGGAGAGTGCTTCTGAGGCCTGAGGCAGGAGAGAGAGGAGCGGGGTTCCTTGACACTGTCACTCAGGCCAGAGATGAGTGGAGTGGAGGTCCTGGAAACTGCCATTCAGTGTGAGGCACATGGTCAGTAGTCCCGGACAGGGGGCGGGGGCCTAGGGGGCTGAAATGTGCTGTGTGTGGCCCCATAGGACGGAGGTGGTGCCGGGGGTGCCCCGGGGGGCTCAGCCTCATCCTCCATGTCGCTGTCGTCACTGCCAGCCAGCTGGTCATGGCCAACGAAGCCACACTTCTCCTCGCTCAACTCCTCGGGCTCTGCCCACGGCTGCTTCTCTCCAGAAGCAAAGACCCCGTAGAAGATGACCCCTCCATAGTGCACCAGGGAGGCAATCAGGAACACGTACTGCCACTCCTCCCGAGTCTGCAGGGGACAACAGGGCTGAGGTCACATGGGAGGACGGAGAGAAACAGGTACAGAGGGGCAGGCCCAGAGGAAAGGAGGCAGAGACCCAGAGAGGCTGCAAGGGCAGGGATGGCACCCCAGGGGGCGCCACCACGTGGTCAGGAAGGTACCAAGCACACACTTGGAGGGCGAGTGAGTCAGGACTGCGGCACCAACCTTGTGCTTAGTCATGGCCCCCACGATGATGGGGCACACCATGCCCGACAACGTGCCCACGCCGTTGGAGATGCCCATGAGGATGCTGGCGTAGCGCGGGGCAATGTCCAGGTGGTTCACATTGAACCCTGGCGAGGAGACAAGTCGGAAGGCGTCGCACCGGAATCTCACTCGAGAGATTCCCACTGGGGAGTCCCCAGCCTTCTCCCCCTCCCCGCCATTCATGTTCCACCTTTTGCAAGGCTAAGAGGCCCCGTTCCTGAGCCAGGAAGTTCCCTACAAGGCTGACCAGAGTCCCCCAAGCTGCGGATCCGCGGTTCTCACCAGAGATGGCGAAACCGCTGAAGCCCACGGCCAGGACCAGGAAGGAGATGGCCACGCCCTTGGAGTGCGAGTAGCCGACCACCAGCAGCAGCGTGGCTTCCATGCCGAAGCCTGCGGAAGGCCGCGTCTCCTGAGTGTCTGCCGGAGCGGGACGCAGGCTGCCCCACACCGCCCGTCCAGACCTGCTCCAGCCCCAGTCCGCCTCTGTCTGCCCCAGTCTGGCCCTCTCCACGCCGGGTCCAGGCCTCCTCGCGCCCTGCGCCCCACCCGCGCCGGCCCTAACCAGGCCACTACTTCTCCCAGGCCCAACCCCGACCACGCCCACCAGCTCCAGCGCCCCGCCCATAGCTCCACCCCCTGACTAGGCCACGCCCCGAACACTCAGGATCCCTGCTGTGCGCCTTCACAGCTTCCCCTCAGTCCCCACTCATGAGGTCTTTTGTTTGTTTTTGTTTTTGTGTTTGCTTTTGAGAGGGAATTTCACTTTGTCACGCAGGCTGGAGTGCAGTGGCGCTGTCTAGGCTCCCTGAAACCTCCGCCTCCCGGGATGAAGCGATTCTCCTGTCTCGGCCTCCTGCCCAGCCCAAGTAGCTGGGATTACAGGCATGTGCCACCATGCCAGGCTAATTTTTGTATTTTTAGTAGAAACGGGGTTTCACCATGTTGGCCAGGCTGGTCTTGAAACCCTGACCTCAAGTGATCTGTCCGCCTCGGCCTTCCAAAGTACTGGGATTACAGGCGTGAGGCAGCCACCGCGCCCGGCAGATTTTATTTTTATTTTTATTTTTAAGAGACTAGGTCTCATGATGTTGCCCAGGCTGGTCTCAAACTCCTGAGTTCAAGTGATCCAACTGGCTTAGCCTGCCAAAGTGCTGGGATTACAGGCGTGAGCCACCGCGCCCGGCAGATTTTATTTTTATTTTTATTTTTAAGAGACTAGGTCTCATGATGTTGCCCAGGCTGGTCTCAAACTCCTGAGTTCAAGTGATCCAACTGGCTTAGCCTGCCAAAGTGCTGGGATTACAGCCGTGAGCCACCATGCCCTGCCTGTTTTTAAATTCCTTTTTTTTTCTTTAGAGATGGAGTCCTGCTCTGTTGCCAGGCTGGAGTGCAGTGGCTCCATCTCTGCTCACTGCAACCTCTGCCTCCCGGGTTCAAGCGACTCTCCTGTTTCAGCCTCCCAAGCAGCTGGGATTACAGGTGTGCATCATCGCGCCGGGCTAATTTCTGTATTTTTAGTAGAGACAGGGTTTCACCATTTTGGCCAGGATGGTCTCGAACTCCTGACCTCGCGATCCACCAACCTCGGCCTCCCAAAGTGCTGGGATTATAGGCGTGAGCCACCGCTCCCGGCTCTGTTTTTAAATTTTTAATTGTAATTTTAATTTTTCTAGAAACAAAGTCTCTGTCTCCTAGGCTGAAGCGCTATGGCGCCATCATAGCTCACTGCAGCCTCGGACTTTTGGACCCAAGCGATCCTCCCTTCTCAGCCTCCCAAGTAGACGGGACCACAGGCGCGCGCCACCACGCATAGCAAATCCCACTCATTAGACAGAGGCCCCCTATACCCTGTCTTTCTAGGTGCCCCACTCATAGCCCCTCTTCATCACCTAGTTCATGTCCTACCACACCCAACTTCGTGCAGGCCTTGTCCTCCCAGGCCCAACTTGGTCTCGCCTCTGCTCCACCCGGGAAGTCTCACCCACCCTGCCCTTCCACGGGGTGGCCCCTTGGACTGCCGTGTGACCGTCCCTTTCACCCTGGCCTGCTCCACCCCAGCTGCGCCCTGTTGGCAATAGCCCTTAGCTTAGAAAGAGACACGTGGGGCAGGCTTGACAGTTTCCGCCTGTAACCACACCCCATCACCGCCCAATCCCGCTCTGCTCCTCCCAGGCTGTCCTAGAGCCGACCCAGGCCCCGCCCCACTCACCCCCGCAGTTCATCAACTTGCGCACGTTGGTGGTAGACATGATGCGGCGGCTCCGCAGGAAGTCCGCGATCTGGCCGCCGATGGGCACGATGATGGTCATGACCAGGTGGGGCAGCGCGGACACCAGGCCTACCTGCGGGAACAGGTGCACAGGGGAGACAGGGGCTCCGGGCTGCCGGCTCGGGGTCTCTGCCCGGTTGGTGCACCACCGGCTCCTCCCTGCCCTGGGCTCCCGGCCA